TTCCTGTTTACATACAGCTCGTTTTCTCTGTTTTCTTGCTCAGACCAGGTGTTGTGGGTGAAAGTATGCTTTGTTCTATGGCGAATAGCTCAAGAACGGTAAGAGGTAGAAACAAACTGTTTTTTTCAGAGTAAAGCAGAGAGGTTAATCTTTAATTTGGTGCCCTTGGTGTTTACATCGTCTAAATAATGAATATTCTGTGGCACTTCAAAGTTGGGTCAAATCACCTGAAATTGCTGGCAGAACGCACTTCTCAAATCTGAAAATGCCTGGCAGTCAGTGAGTTAATAAAGCTTTCTTTGTATGAACATATTCCTGGAAAATGTTCATTTCCTCTATAAATAATAATATGAATAAATATATATTTATATAAATATTATTACATTAATTATGAGGCAGGGTGACCAATAGTGACAGATCTGCCAGCCAATCACGAGAGATTATACTTATTTGAAAGTAGTGATTTCATCCAATGGGGAGTAAGCTTCATACAATGGGCAGTAAGCTACCAATGGGGAGTAATCCCACGTGGGCTGGCCACGTGTGATTTTTCAGCCAATCACGAGTTTGAAAGTAGTGGTATCCGCCAATGCTGCTGCATTCATATGCTAATTAGGGCCATTAGCGCTCGGGCAGTGTTTCGCTGCATTCATATGCAAAGTAGGTACCAGCCGCGGCGGCAGGGATAGGCCTGGGTAGGCCGGTGCCTACCCGTTTTTTTCTTGGCCTACTCAAATTTGTTCTTCGCCTCTCAAGTCATTCGCCTTTTTTATTAAAAGTCATCATTTAAATATTGTTATTTTTATATACAAATTATTGGTAATGCCTAAATGTTGCGTTCTAATGTTTTAAGAAAATATAACCCCCTGAGCGTCATCACGTTCCTACGTTGCTTCAAATATAGTCCTGTTTATTGGCTGAACAATTTTGTCCAATATCATATCACACAGCGTGAAGCTCGTTCCCGAGAACAACAGCTATTCCTCGTCTTAAAGATTGACAACGCTCTCAAAACATTCACAAAAGAGCAGCCTTTTTCATTTTAGTTTTAAGACAGTTCAGCGTGAACTTTGTGAGGTAGAGGAGCCAGAGGCCCGGGCCCGTAGGTCCCAGAGGAGGAGGGTCAGGCCAGGCTGGCCTCGCACTGATCAGGTAAACTCTAGGCCTGTGTGAGACACACTGTGGGCCTCACTTTGGGCCTCACTGTGGGCCTCATGTATGAAACCTGCGTACGGCCAAATCAGGGTAAATGAGGCGTACGCAAAATATTACACTTTTCCGCACTTATCTATCTGGACGTGAGCGTACAATACGCACAAAATATACGCCAGGTCTGGAGGTGGTGTGAATCTATACGCTGATCTCAACCTTCGGCACAACACGCCAAAACACGCATGAAATTCAAGATATGGACAACAATAAACATATTCCCTCTGGCAAAATTATATGCTGTGTTTTCATTGAGGATCATTTTTCAAAATTTAAATTTGCGCATCAGAAAAAGTCTAATGGAAACACGCAAACTTCGAATAAATCACAGCTCATGATGAGAACCTTCTATTAAATCTGACTTGTGTGTGTATTATTTTGATCTGTATGTTTTTAAAATGTGAAGCGCTTTGTGATCCTGGACAGTCAAAGGCTCTATATAAATACACTTTACGCAACAGGGATGTGTGACCCATCTATTGCTGTGGCAGGCTCTGCGCTGCGTAATTACGCACGGCTATTTGTATTCCTCATTCACATCTAAAGCAATGTGTTATTTATATATTATATTATTATATATATATGTAATAATATATATTATTATCTCACTGCCCTGTCCAGAGTGCGCAGCGAGTGCCGTGAGAGGTCGCGCCACATGTGCAGAAGTTTTGGCCCCAGAGTTTCTTTGTGAAATCTGGACCGCAAACGCTCTCTGAAGTGTACAGCGCCTCAATGCGCACTTCTACCCCGAGCCAGGCTGCGTCCAAGACGCTGCAGACGCTTCATTCAGACAGAGCCACCGCTGCATAATATATATGAATTATTCATTCATTCAATCAATCTATATTTATTCACTTCTACAATTCAAGAGAGATTTTTCTAATGTATCAAAACATTTTAGCAAATTTGTTCAAAACGCAGCTGAATATATAGAGTATATTTATTTTTACATAAACATGAACAAACAAACGTCCCTTTTGAGGCTTCCAAAGAGTCTTTTAGGCCGGCTTCCTGCTGACCTGTCACAAAGACGGGGCGTGAAACACGCGATTGCTGCATAATTCTAGGTGTGACTTTTATAAATATTTTTTGTATTCAGTCGATTTATCAACACCCGCAGCTGCGTACGCTCAGATCTGGGCGGATCTCACATGTTCATAAATCCGACAGTGGATTTTGCGTAAATGGAATATACACCCAAAATGTACACCTTTTACGCAAGTTTCATAAATGAGCTTGTGTGTATGTGCGCGCGTGAGTGCGTGTGCGTGCGTGTGTGCGTTTGAGCCATATTCTTTGAAACCCCAATTCCAGCTACCCCTTGTAGTTTGTAAGCGAATTTGGCCTACTTACTAATCTGCAGGCCTACCCAAAATTGCAAACCTGGCGCCGCTACTGGTAGGTACATTAGGGCCTCACAGCAGAGGCCTAAAGCAGGGGCCTCATTACTTTAATACTTACAGTCTGTGGTAAATACACGGGCTACAGGTGTTACACGTGCTTAGACTAGACTTGTATGTGTAACATTCAAAATAGATTGAGTGAATATTCCGCTTTTCCTCATTTAGTGGTTTGCGGAGGAGAGAGCAGCGAGAGAAGTTTGGCAGTTAAAATAAATGAATTACAGCTTGCTAAATTATTTGAAAGCATCTTCATTATGATTGTTATATTTATGTATTTATTATAAATGTTAGAGATGCCAGAGAAAAGGCGTCTACTTTTTTTCTGAGTGGGAGGAGACACCAGCGGAGCTGTTTGAGTCAGATAACGTTCAGCGTTATATTACCAATAGTTTCTCTTTCCATAACGATAATCTCTCTTTTTGGAAAGATCACCAACGTGATGCAAAAGTTTACGTTATATGCAGTAGTTTTAATGTCTGCGGGTTATTCCAGAGACCGGCCTGCTACAAGGAGTTGCCCGTTTTAACCAGATTGTCGATGTGCGCGGGGCAGAAACTCATAGGCGACGGATATAATCAGTCCGATGTACAGTACGCTAGGCTTAAAGCCACAGATAGTTGTCCGGTGAAGAGAGAAGAAAGAGCGATGAGATGCCAATGTAACCCTGCTCACAAGTGCCACCTGGTGGTTGTTTTGGTCATTGCAGCATCACTGGGGGGGGGGGGAATAAAAGACGCGTGAATCACACGTGAGTCTCGTGTGATTCACGCGTGAAAGGCGACAAAACGAAATGGGACCTACTGTATCTGTTAAGGTTTTCACCACAAATACTGTTTTAATACGAGAAAAATCGATCGCGAAAAACCCAGAAGTAGATTCTGGGACATTATAGGAACATTTGCAGAGGATCATATTATGTATTTAGGTTAAATTTATGTATGGGTCACTCACCGCTGATGTTCAGCAATCTTTGTTCAGTTTTCATGCAGTTCAAGAGAGTTCTAGTTTGGAAGTTGCTAGCTTAACTGTTACTCGCATAGTCACGGGAAAGCCTTTGGGAACTATCTTATTTTCTGTCATTAAATAAACCTTTTGGCATTCCTAAAAGTGGACTGATGTTTATTTTGTGTGTTCTGTTGGTACAAAGCCGTATAATAAGCTTCGCCCTGTCGGTACTTATTTTCTGATAATGACCTGAGTACTATACATTATCCCTTACAGCACATGTTCTTGCACAAGATTGAATTACTGATTAATCCATAGATGTGCACACAAGTTTATGTTTCTTGCACTAGAGGATGTACTATTTCTATGTTTTCTATGTTTTTTAAGATAAAGATAGAGATTTTATTTTATTTTTAAAGTATAAAATATCTTTCACAGTAATCTTTAACACTCATTAGCGAGGTGGCATTTTTTTTTTTTTTTTGCACTTTTTTACACTTTCTAACTGTTTATTGTTTGATTTAAAAAATCTAAAATGTTTTAATGGATTTAATGTTATTTTATTTTAAAGCACTTTGGTCGCCTTGAGTGTTGAAGGGCTCTATAAATGAAATTGATATCTTCTGTTGCGTGCTCCTCATTTCTACTGTTCTTTATTTTGTGATACAAAACTGAAATTTCCCCCTGCAGGACTAATAAAGAGTCTCTTAGTCTAATGTTAAAACGCATCATTCCAGATACCAACATATCTGTGGTACACCTGTGACATACGGCGCAGTGGTTAGCGTTTATGCGTCACAGCAAGAAGGTTCTGGGTTCGGTTCTACCTTCAGGCCTTTCTATGTGGAGTTTTCATGTTCTGCCCGCGTCTGCGTAGGTTTCCTCCAGGTGCTCCAGTTTCCCCTACCACTAAAAACACGGCATGCATCTCCTGTATGGCAACCCCATCCCGTCTTTGTGACAAATTAAAAACTGTTTGTGACTACATAAAGAATGAATCCCTCCTCAAGACGTAAGTAAACGTAATGCTCATATTTGGCCAAATGTATCCTAATTTTTAAACAAGATTTGCCAATGGGACAAGCAAAATGATCTTGTTTAAAAAAGATACAAGAAACGTCTCCCTTGGAATAAGAAAATAACCCAACAGTTCTTGAAATAAGACTAAACGGCTTTGTCCTGCTCAAATTATCTTACTCGATTCAAACAATTATTACCTCATTTTTTTTCATTTTTATCAGTGCATTCCTTCCCTTTTGCTCCTGAAATATATCAACACAGAATACACAGCCTACTATCTTTGTTTGTGGGTGGGCACGAGAATAAACAGGACCGCAGTAGTGAGACCCACCTAATGTAAAACGCCTCAGCCACCCCATAATTACATTTCCCACGTACGTTTGGCCTGGACTCTCCCCTCTACAGGTTCTTCAAAATTCAATCTCACTTGCTCCTCTCCTCTATCCTCCCGCTCGCTACACTTGTTTTCTTCCGTTTTAGCCTGCACCCAAACTCTTTCATTTGGTAGATGGCGCACAGCTTGATCAATTTCACGCTCGTCTGTCGAGATCCCCGCTTGTTGGAAGCGACTTGGCGGAGACTGCGCCTAATCAACCCTCCGGCTCCGTTCAGCCTCTTGAAGGGAGAAAGGGGAGAAGTCCGTTAAACTCCCGTATAGCTCGCCACTGTGTCTGCCTCGCACCGTCGGGCCTGGAGTTTTTCCGGGGGATCTGTTTGTTTTCTCCTGCTGATGGGAGAGGTTAATGGAAGCGCGTGAGACAGGATGTTTGTTTCCTTACTAGCTGTCATGTTCTCCTCCTCCTTCTGTGTGTTTTTCTGTGCGAGGCGGGCTCTTCTTGCCTGTTTGCATTGAGCCATGTTCATGTTTTTTGCTGCTCACCCAGACTGATGAGTAAACAATGCATTTTTGATTGGATGGTGTAGGAAGGAGTTTGTAGATGGAAGAACGGAAGGTTAAATTAAGGGTTTGGTTCTTGACTCAGACGGGTTTTGTAAAGAAAGCGAATGAGTTTTATGGCGGCATCTTTGAGCCTAAAGTGTGGATTTAAAGAAAACCAAAGGATTTGAGAATTTTTTTTGAGGATGACAAGGGACACTACAATTCCCACAAAATCTGACTGGCTGTAGGTTCTCTGTCAGCTGAGGTCGAGCTGTTTTAGTTTACATTGAATTCTATGGGGAAAATATCTCGGTAGCCCATGTGAATTTGTGTATTTGTGTATGCGTATTCATCAAACTGAAATTTCAGTTGAGGAACGAATAAAGGACCTTCTCATCTACAGCAACTAAAGAACAAGATTAAAAAAGATGAACAAAGCTGAAGGATTTCTCAAAACAAAGCATGAAATCAAACACTTGGACTTTCTCTTTCTATCTTCTTTTAAAAGTAGAAAGTAGAACAAAAAATCATGACGATCTACATGGGATGCTGGTTCTTCTGCTGCGTGCTGTAGTCATCAGGACGTTTGATCGGTGATTTGACCGCTACAGAAGTGCGCACAGTAGATCAGAAGCTCATGGCATTGCATGCATACTTAATAATTATATATGAATTAATAATTGTTCAATGTAGTAAACAGAGTTATCTATTCCTCTCACTGCCCCTGGACAGACATCAGAAAGACAAAAACATATATATTTGCTGAGTAGATCATTACAAATAATCGTTATATTTTACCTCAGATTTATCGTAACAACCGATGATTGTTAAAAGTCAAAAGGTTTACAACAGTTAGTGAGAAATGTTTTAACAGTATATAACATTTTGGTTTCCACTGTAGGGTATGTCACTTTTAAACTTTTCTAAATTGTATATGGATCAATAAAAAAATTGATCACCGATATATAATTCAATCCCTTTTTATTAGTAACTTCAAATTGTGTTATCCATTGAGTTTTAGAGTTTGGCTTTTTGAACAGACATCACAGCAGCCATCTCAAAGAACCTCACGGAATAGTGGATTTGCCAAAAGCAGACTTTAAAATCAAATGTTCCGGTCAACCTTCGGAACTTCAAACCTCCTTTTCCAGCAAGAAAACACTCCAAACAACCCAGAGGGAAAAAGTGAAACCAATGGGCTGAACAGGATGAAGATGAGTCTGGGAACGACAAGCATGCATCGGCTTTGATTCAAAGCAAAAAGAGAAAAAAAAATAAAGTCATATTTAGCTGAATGTGTCTTGATCACTTCCACTCAGCCGCTCTAATTAAAGAAGCATGTTTCCAATGTTATACAGCTGATGAGCACTTTGCAGGGTTGACTTTCAAATTATTTCCAGGCTGACTCTCAGATTAATCATTTTAGCATAAATTAAGAATAAGTGGCAAACATGCGACACTCTTCAACTTGCTTCATTAACACCGAGAGCCACATTTGCCACATTCACCCCTCACAGCTTCCCTATTATTTGAATTACTTTAAATTCCTTTGACATGTAATTTGACAGGATTTTAGCACTTTTAACATAATTCTTCCCCTTCATTGCTTGTTTCATAAGAATATTTGGGCACATAGCGACATGAAGTTGGAAGTTCGATTTTTGTTCAAAGATCCACAATTTAACGGAACATTAAACTCGGGAATGTTTCAGATTTTGCAGCCAGTTTTTCTCAAACAACAACAGCAAAGATGGAGGCAGTTATGATAATATTGCTTCTGTTGGGTAGATGACAGATCTCAACGTTGCTATTAGTGGAATAGAATATACATGTGAAAGTTGGAAAATTAGATCATTCCAAAGTTTATTTAGTTTTATGATTCAACTTCAAATTACATCCAACGTGACAGACGCCAAGCATTTGTTTGTTTTAACTGTTGTGATTATGGCTTTGTATATTTTCAAAATATTCCAATTTTCTAAGATGCTTTAGTTTGGATTTTTACAAGCTGTGAGCCAGTTATCACCCTTATAATGAGCAAAGGCATGACATACCGTGGGGCAAAAAATATTGGGCATATCCCCTTACTTAAAACGATGAGATGCCTGTAATTTTCATCATAGTTTTGTATACCACTATTATGAGAGACAAAATGAGAAAAATAATGATTTATTTTTATTTTTATGTATAATTAAGTTTCAAATCCTGGAATGGAAAATAAGTCAATATCAGGAGTACATCTTAATAATGATTAACCTCTTAACAACCGCCTCATTTTGGCTCGTGCACAATGGTTGGGCATACCCAAATGTCTTTGCTTATTTAAAAACACATCTTACATCTCACATGCTTGTGTGATGCATCATTTTAAAGCTAGAGCCTTCTAGTTTATGTAAAAAAACACTAAAATAATGTTTGTCATTCCTATTTTCCTCTGCATCCTTTGAAGTTAGGGAAAAAAACCCAATTTTTTTAGCCTCGCCTAACATTTTCAATTTCTAAAGGCCCTAAAAAAGGCATACTTCATTGTAAGTTCACAATATTCAAACCCTCTGTTCATTGTGTTGTTGACAACAACTGTCTAAAGTTTCAGACTTGTAAGTTTTATAGTTTTTATGCAGTTTCTCCTTTTCATCAAGTAGTGCACATTTGGCACAATTTGGCACAAGTGTGTCAAATTGTGCCAAATATCTTTACTTACATTTAATCATCATAAAAACAATATTTTTCATTATTGGTACTTATAAGTTACTAATCTATGTGTGTTTTTCTTTTTTAAATGTCAAAGTTATTTTTTTATGAGTGTAAATTCATTGCAGCTTCGAGAGCGTCTTTTGGCTTCCATTACGCACAATTGTCCAGGCACAACATAAGACAGGACACCATTGTCCCACCCCTTGTTCGAAAGCTTTCCTCATTGGCTACAAGGACATGTCAATCGTAAATCCCGGAAGTAAAAGCAAACAAGTTGGGATCACCACAAAGATCAGTGATCCATGCGCAAACAGCAGCACGAGCGGTACTTGCGGGAGCTCTTGCAGACCCAAAAATTGGTCTAGCTTTTCGGGAGTAGTCTCATTTGAAAGATAAGGAGCTAAGGAACACGTAGATACCAGATGTTTGGGTGAAAAACAAAGCTAAAAGTCCGTTAAAAGTGAAAGAGTAACATCTGTGCTCTTTTTTTCGTTTTTTTCGCTAAAGATAAATGCACATTTTTGGATTATTTCTGCAGAATGGATTTTACTTTGGGAAATACAAGTGGATATAATTTTCCTTTGGACTGTTCCAGAGAGAATGATGTATTGCAAGCTGGGAGGAGAGCTGATTTATTTGTACAGCACAAGCCCAAAGGTAAAAAACTATTTCGGAATTGATTTATTTTGTGCCCACATTATGTGTTATATCTTTTGAATGCAAAGTCTGATGTAGTTTACACTTGTATATAAATGTAGATAAGAAAATAAGCTTTAAAATGATATACAGCTTTTGGGGTTTGGTGTTCAAAATACATCTGCTATTGCCTTCAGAACATTTAAAAACATAAAAACGGCCGCCGGCGCGCCGGTTGTTGCAATTAAGGATGTATAGTTATGTATATTTTGTTCCTAATGACAGACGTCAAACTTTTTGTGATGCTGTCATTGTTGAGGTAGACTGTACCTATGATACAGTGGAATGACTTTTGGTGGCAGAAAAAATACTTCCCTCCTCTCTTTGGTTGTAGTGAGCATGTGGTAGTTTCACATTGTAAGTTAGTTAAGAAAGTAAGTAGACTTTTTAACGATATTATGAATTTCTAAGATTTCCCTGTAAAATATGTAACTTTGCATATTGTAAAATTAATAAAATTATGCGATAAAGACCAACATTTGTTACAAAAACAGAATGTATGACCCTAAATGTTGTTTATTAAGGAAATATGTTTGAACTTTATAAACAGCGATTGTTAATGATGTTTCAATCACAGGCAATCCTGTCAAAATCACCTGGACAAAAGGCATAGTTTGGCATTTTTGGCATCTTGGTTGCATTTTCCGAGGAGCCATTTCTTAAAGGAATAGTTCACCGTTTTTACATACTGACATATGTTCTTACCTTACCTTAGACTAGTTAATATGTACCTGTCTGGTCTTAGTCCGTGCGCTCTGTCATACAAACGGAGCAAAAACGGGAGCACAAACACAGCCTCCTCTGTATACTGTGTAGGACCAAAAGGTAGCTCCCGCTAGAAGCTTCCAAACTCTTCCAAGTGTTCCCTATTAAATGTATATAGTTACGTGACGTGTTACACTGCAAAGTATAGTAACACAGAAATGTAACTGTCGATTTTCTCAGCGGATAAAACGGGTACTATATTGTGAGGCGTAGTAATCTGAGGAGCGCTACGTCCGCGCACTAACTTCTCTCCGTACTACAAGTCACGCTGCTTCTATTGACGGAAGTGAGCGAGAGAGAAGTCTCCGGAGAGAAGTTAGTGCGCGGACGTAGCGCCCCTCAGATTACTACGCCTCACAATATAGTACCCGTTTTATCGCTGAGAAAATCGTCAGTTACATTTCTGTGTTACTATACTTTGCAGTGTAACACGTCACGTAACTATATACATTTAATAGGGAACACTTGGAAGAGTTTGGTACAGTGGGTCCCATTCCGTTTTGTCGTCTTCATTCGCGCTTCTCGGGAATCACGCAGCTGCGTGAAAAATAGTACATCTTATCGCCACAAGGTGGCAGGCTAAGTCCGCTTTAGCTCTGCCAGCTACTTAGACGCTCAGTTATCATACTGCGTGCAAACCTGTCTAGCCCAGAGGTGCTATGTTGGCCGAATGGATAGCATCAAAGACTGGGACCTGGAGAACCCAGGTTCGATTCTTGTCTGAGGCACATCTTTTGGTTGCTTGTGGCAAAATTGTTTTTTCATTAAACAATTATTATATAACATCTTGTCTTTAATGTCTGGAAAAATCGAGGTGAAATTCACTAGT